TAAACTTGTTTTACAAAGTTAAATACTTGTTTAAAACTGTGAAGTAAATTAACTGGAAACCATCAGATGAGAGCCAGTCTTGCCTACAAAGTTTATTGGACATTGTATTCAACGAATCAAAAGGCAATAAGAGATTTTTTCTCATTTCTTGAAACTAAGGCTAAATTCTCAACTGAGTTTAACCGATTCCAACTACCCACTTTCTCTCTCTACAACTCAGTAAATTAAACAATAAATACCAGTACAGATACAGATGTCTAAAGAGAAAAAACTGGGTATCAAGAAAGTGTATTCTTGCAAGACATTATGGCCCATTTCTCAAGTAACTCGAATTTCAAACTTATATGGTACGCTCTTACTTTGCACCACCCACAGATATGGCATATATTTTTTGTGGAAATTAAGAAAAGGTTGGGGCTAACAATATTTTCTGATAGGGACTGTAGTACTAGTCTCAAATACGCGATTTAAATAAAGAAAAATCTAGTATGATACTGAAAATGATATCAAGAATTAGTGTCGTACTATAGATTGATATTGATAATTATGAAAGTTGTTGACATTGAAATATATAACTGTTTTCTATATCACCTTTAGGGTAAGGAGCGCGAACCACTATATCCAACAAATCTAGCTCATGTTTTGTGGGGATTAAAATCAAACTTTTAGTAGATTACGATAAAAGTTGATAAAAATGCGCACTTGAAAATTTGTATGTAGTAAAATTAATTATTAACTTTGACTTAGATTAAAATCTTGATTTTAATTCCAACCAAACAGGGACCTGGTATTCATCATCATCATCATCAGTTTATGTTGGGGTGTCTTTAAACAACATTTGGTTGGTAAGGAGTTGTGGCTCTAACAACTCCACTATTCTGGTTAGTCATGAACCCCATGTTTAATTTAGATAAAAATAAGATTTTTCTAGTAAATTTTGATAAAGATTGATAAAATGTATGATTAAAAATATGATTAAAGTTGTGGGATCCATGAAATGTTATTAAAAATGATTTTTAAAAATAATGAATTTTAAAAAATGGGGTCTAAACATGGACGAAATATGTTATGTATATCAATAAGTGTATGATAATGGTTTTTCTGTATCGTTATGGTCATGTTATGGTGATCCTTTTGTCGACGAATGCTCTTATTACACTCGTAATCTTGTTGATAGGCAAAAGCATAGCAGCTCGAGAACTCAAGAATTGACGAGTTCACGTCACGAACTAAAGATGCTACGTGACAATGTAAGACTAAAAATCGATCTAATATTTAAGGCGAAAAACAAATGGAGAAAATAATTGAATGCCCATAGATCATACCTCCTGCCATTGGTGTCATTCTAGAAGCTTACCTTTGTTCTAGGTAATGGCACTTCCAAGCTTTCAACACTCTTAATTGATGGTATATCAGTATTTTTGGTGGTGAAGCTCAAGGACCAAAACCCATCCATTTATAAATCCAAAACTCCCATCAAGTTATGACTTAAGTTACCAACCAATTAATGGTGAAATTAAATTTGATAAATGTTGAAACTGAAAATCCCATGAATGTTGGACCATCAATATGACCGTTGAAGAAACGGGAAGAGATTTCAACGGGAATGTGAAGAGAAGGATATGTTATATTCTCCCACTTGGTCCATACATTCAGCCTAATGTTTCAACTTAATCCCATCGATTGTCCTTTTTAAGAAACAAACACATAAATCATGACGATGAGTCCTCCGATAACGAGTAGTATCTTCTATGTATTACAATGTGGTTGGTTCCTCAAGAATTATTCTTTACATGGTAACAAAAATGAGAAGACCTTATGTCTTATTCTTGGTCCGGCATAAATGTATTTTCTCAAATAAATTAAGGTACACATAAATATGATAAAATATCAAAATAAATAAGAGTTTCATACAAAAATTGTAAATACCATTACATAGTGGAACCAAGTCCCATTTTCTCTACATGATCTTTGAATTTCAGTGGTGACATGCCCTTAGTCAAAGGATCAACGATCATCAATTCGGTGCTTACGTGCTCAATGACCACTTTCTTTTTTTAATACGTTCTCTTATAGTTAAATATTTAATGTCGATATACTTATTTCGACTACCACTTTTGTTGTTCTTAGACATAAAAACATCAGCCGAATTGTCACAATAAATTCTTAATGTCCTAAAAATGGAATCCATAACTCTATGCCCGAATATGAAACTCTTAATCCATACACCATGCGAAGTAGCAGTTAAGGTTTGCTTGACACTCCTCCATGATACAGCTCTACCAGCCATCATAAAAATATATCCAGATGTTGATTTTCATGAATCAACACAGGCAGTAAAGTCTAAATCTGAGTATCCAATTACTTCTAAATTATCCATCCGTTTATACATAAGCATGTAATTTTTGGTTCCTTGAAGGTACCTCATTACTTTCTTTGCTGCTCTCCAATAGTCCATACCTGGATTACTTTGATATCGTTCTCACATTTCTATAACAAATGCAATGTCGGCATTGTGCAAACTTGAGCATACATCAGGCTTCCGACAACAGAAGCATATGGAATGTTCTTCATTTGTTCCCTTTCTAAATCATTTTTCGGGCATTGGTTCAAATTAAACCTATCTCCCTTTACAATGGTAGATACACTTGGTGAACGATCTTTCATCTAAAATCTCTCTAAAACTTTGTTGATATAGATTTCTTGATACAGACCCAAAATCCCTTGTAATCTCTCTCTGTGAATCTTAATGCCAATAACATAAGATGCATCACCCATATCCTTCATATCGAAATGTTCAGAGAGGAATCGCTTCACCTCATGCAACAAGCATTTATCATTGATTGCAAGTAAAATGTCATCTACGTATAAAACAAGAAAATAAATCTTACTCCCACTAACCTTCTGGTATATACATTGATCCATAGGCTTCACTCAAAAGGAATGAATCGATTACCTGAAGACATTCTCTCTGCTATCTAAGAAAAATTCGCTACGTATTATTTTGAAATTAATAGTCCAATTTGACCTTGAGTTACAACAAATGAATATGAAAACAACATTTCTCNTAGATTGTTTCATATAAACATCTTCATCTAAATCTCAATTGAGAAATGCTGTTTTTACATTCATTTGTTATAACTCAAGGTCAAAATGGGTTATTAATGCCAAAATAATACGTAGAGAATATTTCTTATATACCGGAGAGAATGTCTCTGTGTAATCGATTCTCTCATTTTGAGTGAATCCCATAGCCACAAGTCTCGCCTTGTATCTCTCAATGTTACTTAAAGAGTCTTTCTTTGTCATAAAGACCCATTTGCAGCCAATAGCTTTGGCACCACTGGGCAACTCAACAAGATCTCAAACTCTGTTACTCTTCATGGAACTCATTTCTTCCTTCATGGCATTGTACCATAATTATGATTCTTTGCAACCCATGGCTTGTAAAAATGATTTTGGATCATTTTCGGCTTCAATATTGTGGTCAAGTTCTTGTAAATACACATCATGATCACTAGGAATTGCTGACCTTTTGGTTCTAGTAGATCTTCTTAATGTTGTAACATCATCTTCTTGAGAAGCTTGTAGTTCAACTGTTTATTCAGAAGGTTCTGGAAATTCCTGAATTACCTGATCTACTTGAACATTGTCAGCAGCTTGTAGAATTTCAATGATTGGTCGTTCAACACCTGTTTGTACTTGAGGGGTGCTATGAACTATGACTAATCTGTCACTCGAGGTGGAAGGTTGAGATTCCAAATGATTATGCTCAGGAACTTTGTTTCTGGTTTGACCGCTCCCACTAACCAAGTCATTCTCAAGAAATTTAGCATTTCTTGATTCCACAATCCTAGTGCTGTGAGATGGACATTAAAATCTATATCCCTTAGAGCTTTCAGCATATCCAATGAAATACTCACTAATGGTTCTTGGGTCCAACTTCTTCTCTTGTGGATTATAGATCCTCACTTCAGACGGGCATCCCCAAATACGCCTATATTACTCGGATCTAAAGTAACAATCATAATAAGTTTCATTGAAGTTGTAATATCAAATTTTAACTGAAAGTGGCACACAAAGTTCATGTTTAATTCATAAGCTAAGTATTGATAGAGGCAAAGTGCCATCGGATGGAGTCTGAATGGCAGGCTCGTCTAGCCTCGACTCAAGATCTTGCTCGCTTGTGCAAGCTGAAAAGCGACTTGCACAAGGTTTTCATTATTCGATTTGTGTTCGTGGCTCACCCCATTTATCACCCTCTATCCGAACTTCATTTCAGTTAATTGTTGCAGAAATGGCAAAAAGGTCCACCTACCCCGTTTCTTGTTATTATTATTTTAATTTAATTTGTATTTAAAAGGCAAAATAATTAAATAGGACAAGAAATGACAATATTTTTACCCCAATTATGCTACATAAATATAATGGTTGACATAATTCTTAACGTAATGTCATATGGTAATCTATCATTGGACAGTTTAAAATATATTCAATTTTTTCATCGAATCACATCTTGTTAACATCTATTATGTCACATATTTTCTTAGCGTTGTTCTTTTTACCTGTTCCCCACCTGCCTACTGAAAATTCCCTAAGCGGCGGGGGAAGGGGGCAACCACGTGCTGGTGAGAAACTTATTACTCCAATATCTTAAATTATAGTAATTATTAAATTCTGGTATTTGCACTAAATAAAAAGTAGACCACTCGTCGTGTTGTTATCCCAGCAATGTTTATTCTGTATATACGGGTCGTGCATGGCTTTCGTATGAAATATGAAACCCCAATTCAGTTTTCGACATATCAAACCAAACAGCCAGCCCCTCTTTCTCCACTTTACAATTTTCTCAACAACTCTCTCCTAATATTTTTTTCTTGATGTGGACTCTATATATAACACCATTTTCCTCACCAGTTCCAATCAATCACTACCAAAATAAGCAAAATTTCTACTCATTTTGCATTTGATTATCTAAATTTGCACTTGCTGCTGCATGCATGGACGCTGTACTTGTCTTTTTCAGCCTATTAGGTGCAACTTCTGCTTATTTGATATGGTTTTGGCTTCTTGCACAGAAACTCACTGGTCCAAAGGTCTGGCCATTGGTGGGTAGTCTCCCACATTTATTTATGAACCGGAGGCGAATCCACGACTGGATAGCCGGGAACCTCCGTGCGACTGGTGGCGCCGCCACTTATCAGACATGCACCATTGCTATCCCTTTTCTGGCTAGGAGACAAGGGTTTTACACTGTCACGTGCCACCCGAAAAATATCGAGCATATTCTCCGAACCCGGTTCGAGAACTATCCAAAAGGACCGGACTGGCAAACTGCCTTCCATGATCTTCTAGGGCAAGGCATATTCAATAGTGATGGCGAAACTTGGCTGATACAGAGAAAGACTGCTGCCCTTGAGTTCACTACTCGGACTCTACGACAAGCCATGGCCCGGTGGGTGAATCGGACTATTCGAACCCGTTTGTGGATCATATTAGACAAGGCTTGCAAAGATCATTCCTCTGTGGACATGCAAGATTTGTTGCTTCGTTTAACCTTCGATAACATATGTGGACTCACTTTTGGTAAAGATCCTGAAACTCTTTCACCTGAATTACCCGAAAATCCATTCGCCATTGCCTTCGATTCAGCCACTGAAGCAACTCTTCAAAGATTACTTTATCCTGGATTGCTATGGAGGTTGAAGAAACTTGTAAGCATTGGAGCTGAAAAAAGGCTGGAAAAGAGCCTACAAGTCATCGAAAATTACATGTCGGAAGCCCTTGAAGCGCGAAAAGAAACTCCATCAGACGATCTCTTATCTCGATTCATCAAGAAGAGAGATATTGAAGGAAACCTGTTTCAAAATTCAGTCCTCAAACGCATTGCTCTTAACTTTGTTCTCGCTGGCCGTGACACATCCTCTGTGGCGTTAAGCTGGTTCTTCTGGCTCGTCATGAACAACGAGCGCGTAGAAAACAAGATCATCAGTGAAGTATCGACAGTTTTACTAGAAACCCGTGGAAAAGACACGCAGAAATGGATTGAAGAGCCATTGACATTCGATGAAGCTGATAGACTGGTTTATCTAAAAGCCGCATTGACTGAAACCCTGCGTCTGTACCCCTCAGTCCCCGAAGATTTCAAATATGTTGTCTCCGACGATGTTTTGCCGGACGGATCATACTTGCCGGCTGGTTCAACTGTCACATATTCTATATACTCAGTTGGGAGGATGAAGAGTGTATGGGGTGAGGATTGCATGGAATTCAAACCGGAGAGATGGCTTTCGGTCAGTGGTGACAAGTTCGAACCGCCCAAGGACGGTTACAAGTTCGTGGCGTTCAATGCCGGACCAAGAACTTGTTTAGGCAAGGACTTGGCGTACCTCCAGATGAAGTCTGTGGTCTCTGCTGTACTTCTTCGTTACCGGCTATCTCTGGTTACCGGTCATCTTGTTGAACAGAAGATGTCTTTGACTCTTTTCATGAAGAATGGTCTCAAAGTTTACTTGGAGCCACGTCCTCTTACTGCACCACCAAGGGCTGCCATGTCAGCATAGAGTGAGAGGGTATTCCTGTCTTTTACTAAAAAGGTGTAAGGGCAATATGGGAACACAAGATGTCTGTTGAACAATGAGAGTGTTCAAGTGTTTGCACAGTGGGTAATATATGGAGATTTTAATTTGTATTCCCTTTGTCATTGTTTCATAAATGTATGTTTTGTTGGTTGTTTATCTATATATACACATTGGATTAATTTTATCTAGTGTTTCGAAGCAAATTTATTCTTGTATCCTGAGTATACATGTGATATTAACAGTTTAGACATGTAAAAAGGGTTAAGTAGTCGATTCGACTTGTGTTCGGTCACACTCAAATTTGCGAACTGGTTCTCAATTTTTTTTCAAAAATAAACCAACAAAAGAAACACAGTACCTGGCATGGCTCTTGCCAGGCCCAAACGCAGCCCACGCCGTGCTGCCCGAAACATTGGTTCGGCTGACCAGTCTTACACCTAAGTCTAAATCTAGTTGTAGAAGTGGCTAAAGCCTAGGGCTCAAACAAAGCCCTGGTTCAACAGGCCAGGTCACAGATCATGTCTCTAGCCAAACCCACCATGCTCGGTCTTAAAAGCTAGCCCACAGCACAGCACGGTACACCCGGGCCCTGGCCAGATTGGTCATTGCAGGGCCCGTGTAGCCCGGCAATGGCTGCCCTCGAAAGGGCATAGCCCTTTTACACTTATAATCCATGGAAACCATTCTGTATAGAGGTTAAGTGGGAAATTTTTTTTTTTTGATTCATTCACATAATTGGCAATAGGATTATTTGGCACATCAATTGCAATAGGTTATATTAGAATATATCTATACCAAAACGTGTAAATGAACTACAAGAATGACAAATTAAGGGGCTGTCTGTTTCCAATTTTCCTCAAGATTTTAATCTTTTTTAAACCGTTTGAGCCGCACTGGTTGACTCCCTCCTCACATTCGTGGGACCCGTGTTGAATTTAACGGTTGAAAAATCACTGTTTTGGCCCAAAAAATTGCTCAGTGGGACCCGTGTTGAATTTAACGGTTGAAAAATCAATGTTTTGGCCCAAAAAATTGCTCCTAGACAGAGCCTAAATAAGATCTATATTTCCACAGTAATTTACCAAAATTGGTGGGTTAGATGTAAACTCGAATTCTCCGGTTTCTATGAGAAATAAACATGTAAACAAGCGCTCCTATTTAAAATCGTATTTTCAGCGACAATCCTATGTTGTTAACCAAAACGTATAATTCTTTGAGCTTAGAACTGACGTGTTTAAATAAAGCTATCAATGTATCAGCAATTTTGATACCTAACCGTCTTACTTTGTCTTAATTCATGTCAACCGGTTTATTGATAGTATATCAGAGCAGACGCATATGTTATTTCAGTTTCCTTTATTTGCCTGCTTTTCATTTTCAGAGGAAGCTGGAAAATCTTAGGGCATGGCCGGCCTTGACTATAGGCGGTGTAGGCGATCGTAGAAGACCCCATTTTGATGAGAGCTCCAACTTATGTAAGATTTATTGACTGATTGAAGAAAAAACGAAAATTATAATTATGAAATTCTTTAAATTAGAATTATCATATGCAAACACAAGAAACTAATAAAAATTGAAAATACAAATTTCTTTAAAAAAAACATATAAGTGGCATAAAACTTATCACAAACATTTGTGTATCACATAAATATATCATAGTCATTACGCTCTCTATATATAAATAATTTGACCATTTATTTTCCCAACCACCATTTTTCATTTTTCTTAACAACAAAATGTCAATTTTCTCTCTTTAAAACTTACGGCCATTACATGTTCTAATGCTTTCATGATAAGTCTTACAATTATTTAAGGAGCTGTTGCTAAATACACTAGTATTCATTTCTCTAGGTTCTTGTAGTTCGTTTTATTTGTCCATTTTGTCCAATTTTCCAGTGTCATTATATTGATTAATGTTTTTTCTATGTGTTATATAATCTGCTTTGGAATTTTCCCGATCCACCTATTATTATTATTTTTTTCTTTTTTTATGTTTGTACTGGAGTTTAAATTTTGTATTTTGTCTTCCAATTTTTATGATTATATTTAGGTCCTGTTTGAGCTAAATTATTTTTTTCATTCGCATTTTTCTACTCATTTTTAACAACACATTTTTCAATAAAATAATATTTTCCATCACATCAATAACTTTTCATTCTTTGTCAACCACATATTCTCCTTCACATCAACACTAAAAATGCATTCTTTTTCAAAAAATGTGCACCAAACGGGAGCTTAATTATTTTCTAAATCAAAGTCAACAATTAAGTTTAACAATACATTTCATAGGATCAATAACTTTTAATCACACATTCCATCAATTTTTTACAAAATCTGCTAAAATTTTGAATTTAATCTCTATCAAATAGGGGTTTAATAATCATAGGAGCCCCCATATTTGAAGTTTGCATAAGAATCCTAAAATACAAGGATCAACCTGCATTAGGGTGAATGAATTTGCTGGTTCAAAGTACCATATAGTTGGTGCAGACTTTTAGTAGCTGAACTAATGTTTACTAGTAAAGACTGGAATCTGACTTTGTTGATACTATAGCATTCAACAAGTTCAACCCACCATGACCATGGATATGACAATTCCACCTAAGGTATTCGAAAAAGAGAATAAAAATGTTGGGCATGAATCCACTGCTAAAATTTACCAAGCTTAAACCTAAAAAAATTTTGTATCTCACTCTAAGCATAAACAGTGCCGGCTATGAAACTAAGAGTCTATTTGGTTTGTATTTCAGTTTTTAGTTCATTTTCATTTTTCTATTTTGAGAGTTTGTTTTAAAATTTTTAAAAAAGTATTTAGTTTGTCATCTTAAAAAATTATTTCTCAAAATAGAAAACTAGAAAACATGTTTGGTTTGAAATTTTGAAAAACTGTTTTACAACATTTTATTCCATAAAATTTGATTATTTAGTAAAAATAGAATAATTTTATGTTAATATATTATCAAGCAATATATACATTTTAAAGTTGGTGACTTTTACAATATATTTTCTCACAAAAGTAAAAATAAATAAGCAAATAATAAATTGAGTTAGATTTTTTATGTAAATAATTATTAAGAGTTCTAACTATTTTTATTTTTATTTTTTACAATTTTATTTTTCTATAATTTTATTTTTTAGAATTTTTATTTGTTTTATTTTTATCTGTTAGAAATTTATTTTTTCAGAATTTTAGATTTTACTTTTTACAAAAAAATTATATTTTAATAATTTATGAATTTTATTTTTTGAATTTATTTTTCTTGATTTTTTAATTTTAAAATTTATTTGTTAATATTCGATATTTATATTTTTTTAAAATTTTTAATTTTTAATTTTTTTTAAAATAAAATTTTATTCAAATGCATGTTTTCCATGTTTTGACTGTTTTTAGAATTTTCACTATAAATACTTGAAACGTCAAAAATGAGTTTTGAATTTTATGTTACAAGTTTATCCTTATTTTCGAAAATGCATTTTCAAAAATATCAGACTAAACGCGTTTTCAATGTATTGTAAAACTGAAAACAATAAACAAAACGTACACTAAATGTTTTAAACCCAACAAAGATAACGACCAAGGCCAAACCAGGGTTGAACATAGTGTAAAAAAAAAAAGATACGCATACCATCAAAAATTCCTAGCAAGAGGGGTTGAGAGAAAAAAAATTCATATCTAATTATTATTTGTTATAAACTATAGTGAAAAGAGAGAAATCAATAGAATTATATGTATTTTAATGAGAACCAAAGTCTCGTATTTATAGAAACGGATAGAGATACAATTGTCATCACTAATAAATTTACCATTTACAACACTCATGTTTGAGACACATTACAAAATATCTACCCCTTTAAAATCTTGTAAAAAAAAATCAATTGGACAAAGCTTGATCAAAGAAAAAAGAGTATAGTTGCTCCCCTGATTTCAATTCTTGTATCAATTCATCATTTTCCAGTATATCAATGTTTTCAATGTTATAATTAATGGTGAAATATATCTCATGTTGTCTTGTATAGTCTTCAAATAATATCATATTCATATGAGTATTTATCAATATTTGATTACTGTAGTAACACGATGATTCAAAAAATAGTTCACGTTGATCTCTTCAAGAGTCTCATACATATAGGATTATTATTTTGAGAGTAAATGTCTTGCATATTATGAACATTCATCACATAAATAATATGTTTCATTAAAACCTTATTAAGAAAAATTCTGTGAGAAAAATCTTAATAAAGGAAAAATAGTACATTGTTCTTTTAAATATGATAAAAAATTTATCTCGCTAAAAACCTTACGAGAAAAACTCAATGGGACAAAACCTTGGTTAAAGAAAAAGAATACAATAGGTATTTACTCCCCCCTCATGATAATATCACTTGAATTATATTTCAAGCATATTAAATTCTTTAAGGAGAACATTAATAGTCTTGTTAGATGAGTTGACTATAACATATTTTAATTTTTATGCATCGTCAAGATAACATGATATGGATTTTGATTTCATTCACCACGATCTTTGTGAAATTTAATATGTTGAGAGTCGTGCATTACATATTACAACTTCATTTTTCTCATTTTCATTTCACATAACTATACACATTTAGGTGTTCAAACTGTCTATTCATAAGTTTCAGGTTTCTCTAGTAAATTCAATTTTATTGGAATCGCGTCCAGACACATCATGCTTCTCTAGTAAATTCTTTTATTATGATCGTGCCATTTTATATAGTGAATCATTACTTCGATCAATAACGAATTTATTTCGATATCCTCAACTCATAATATGAATTGGTACATCATATACAAAAATATTGTTGATAACTTTTTTTTATATTTATTTTTTCATAATGATATAATTTATTGAGATATCTCAATTTTCAACATATTTGGTACTTGAACCTCTTTTGAAATTTTATAAATTTTTATGTCTAAATACTCAACATAGTATGTACTCATTAATGTGACCATCTTTACT